TATATTTAAGATATATATATATACACATACACATATGGTGCTACACCGTTGCGACCAGAAATGGTATGTTTATTATGAAATTGTTCTGCATTAGTGTAATATCTTGTATTTATTGCATTAGTGTAATATCGTGTATTTATTCATTAGAATTTATTTATGTACGTGTTTGTGTTTGTTATTTCTAGTTATGTATGTAAGTATGTATGTGTGTTAGTGTGCATATATATCACACTGATGGGGTTCTTCATTGCTGCTTTTGTTCACAGCCCCAAATGAATGACAGGAGGAAAAAGTTGGTTGTGGCAGCTTTTGCCAAAATGGACAAAACTGGTAAGTTTTCGGTTGACCGTGATGGTGCAGGGGGAAGTGCCAAAATGGCAGACGCTACACATTGTTACTTTTTAAACCCTTTTTCTTTTTATTTCTTACTTACTGTCATTGAATCCCGACCATCGTACTCACGACTCAAAGTGCAATAGTTTTAAATTATGTTTGAGTACTTTATTAAAAAGAGGGTGGGGTGGGGGAACACAATGAAAGCTCTGTTTTAGTTTTAGTAGAGGTTTTACGGCGCTCGCAACTGCATAAGGTCATATGAGCGTCAAGGGGTGAATGTCAACAGAGAAGTCCTTACAGTACAGGGAATTGGGCTTACTCTGCTCACCTCTCTAGCTTCAACAGCACAAAGTCTGCTTCGACTATCAAGGCACCCCGGAAATAGCGGGTCACAAGAAAGTGACAAACATGCAAAAGAAGTACAGGAAAATTGACGGTAGTAAGGATGAGGAAAGAAAAAGCAGCAGTTCCCTGTTGCAATTCCGGCACAGTTATGAGCATGACATCGATGAATCAGCCCATTTACAATTTTGCTGTGCGAAAGAACATGGTAATGTTCCCCATTTGGGAATGGCCTAAAGACACTTCAATCAGTAGCACCGCCCTGGGGGATATGAAAGCTCTAATTTTGGTCAAAATTATGGATTTTGAGATAACATAAGTATTTTTTAAAAATTTCTTCAGCCTGTCATACTTATCTCATCGCATTTGAACCCCCTGAAGCCTTATTTTGTCACCACGATATCCTAATAAAGTCTTTCTTTTTTCTTTTTTTTATCATTGTTTTTCTCAAAAAGCTTTTTATTTAATATACTTTTTTTCCCACCATTTTGAACCAATCTTCATAACATTTTTACAGAATGAAGAGTAACACTATAAAATGGTCAGTTGAATTTTCAATATATGGAATAGAGATTTTTATGCTGTTTTGAGTGTGGAATGTCGGTGATTTTTTGCAACTTTCAATACTACCTCAAGGAAAAGTTCATTGAAAAATTTTCCTAACTCCTTAAAAAAAATCCAACAGACTATTTTGCAGAACTATTGTTTGTTAACATTCTTGCAAAATAGCAACACTATTCCATGAAAAATAAGTGAGGTATTAACTGTACAAGACATGTCAAAAATCAAATATGGCCGCCGTCCCCATTGCAACGAAACTCACGAGAAAGCCCTCAGGGGTAGCCCCTCCCCTTAAAGCAAAGTAAAAGATTAGACCTCACAACTATCTTCTGAATTTTCACAGACTAGACCATTTAACCATATCCGTACGTCGTGTTTTACTATCGTATCCATACGACGTGGGGAAAATTGCAGTTCCTAACGACTCTCAAATTATGTTGGTCACTAAACTTTGGCGACCAATTTATCGCAAATTTTACTTCTGAAATCAAGCGACTCCCACTTCTTTCAAAACTAATATTTCGAGTACTATCTAACCCTATCCGTACGTTGTGTTTTACTATCGTTTCCATTCGACATGGGAAACTCTGTGCCACCATTTTCCAAAGAGGAAATTTACTCGTTAATCCGATCCGTACGCTTTGCATAGCAGTCTGTCAAAATGATTTTTT